AGGTCATGTGCCCTACTCTTGTCAACGATTATGCATCGGGTTGCCCGGCTAATGGGGTCTTATCCTGTGATTCACTGTCAACCCGATGTTGCCACATGTCAGACCAACCTCCTGTTTGCCTCACTCGCGGCCCAAGTGGCGACAACATTGTTTCTCATCTGCTCATCTGCGTGCCCTTCAGAAGACCCCGGGCAACGGCCGTCTTCTTCTAGTCCTCATCTCTGATTACCTGGGCCTGTTGTTCTTGTTCTCGACGGGCTCGCAGGGCTTCCGGCGATGCTCTTTCTGCCTCGAGTCTAGCAGCTTCGAGCTGATTGCGAAGCTCCTGATTTTATCGCGCTGCTTTGTCTCGGGCTTCTTTCTATCCTTCCCTCCTGGCTGCACCAGCCATTTCGCCATATTCAGCTTTTTCCCTCTCAGCTTTCTGCTGGGATTCTAGCACCAGCTGTTCGGCTATACTCTGGATTCTCAACCTTTCATCCTCCTCTTGGGCAAGGCGCCGCTGGGCTTCGCCTGTAACTCCTGCTGCGCTGGCCTCAGCATGCTGCATCTGTTTCTGCGCATTCTCCGCAATGACATGTTCCTCATGTTCCACCTGTTCTGCCATTGCCTGCCTCTCTGCCACAGAAACTGCAAGCGTGCGTTTAGCCTCTTCAGCGGCCTTCTTATCTACCTGCGCCTGAAGGATGATCTGTTGCATGCGCGCACTCGCAGTACTCAAATGTTCTCGATCCTGTCTATTTCTTTCCGCCCACTCTAGGATGGCGATGCGATGCCAAAGCTGCTCCTCCATCGCAGCGCATTCTGCGCAAAGCCATGCTAGACTACACTTGGGACAAACATTCGAACATTGTGAACGCACTGGCCTTCGACATGACCCCCCCCCGTTTGCGCGCTTCCCTGGGCGCCGATTCTCCGCCCAAGTAGGGCACGCGGGCCGCGCGTTCCAGCAGCCCCCCCGCGTCGAAAAGCTGCCGGCGGTTCTATTCGATGGCACCGGCGGCGCCCCAAGGGCGCAAAATCCCCTGGCATGGGAACATCCGGCCCTAGGGGCCTCACTGGGGCACCCCTTTTCACTGCTGGGGGTAGGCGCGCGTTGTTCTCTTCTTCTCACGCCCCTATTGATGAAACCAACGTCCCGATTCTGCGCTAAATCGTCTCTGTCGCCCTCGCCACCGCCTTCGCCACTGTCCCCACCACCACTGTACCCTCCACTGTCTTTTCCACCACGCCCCCACTGCCCCCGCACCACTGCCCCCGCCACCACCGCCCCCACCACTGTCCCACTGCCCCCACTGTTCCCACCATTGTCCCCACCATTGTCCCCACCACTACCGCCCCCACCACTGCCCCACTGTCCCCACCGCTGCCCCGCTGCCCCCTACCGCTTCCGCCGCTGCCCGCCCCCCCCCCCCCCCTGGTTTTCGATGGGGGGGGGGGTCGAACCGGCAGCGGCCCCCCCCCCCGGTTTTCGAGTTCGAGGCGGGAGGGGGGGGCGTCGAACCGGCAATGCCACCCCCCCTTTTCCCCTCTTTCACAATGAACTAAGGGGTGGGAGGTGTTCGAACCGGCAGCGACCCCCCCCCCCCCCCCCGGTTTTCCGGAAGGGGGGGGGGGGAGGGTTCGAACCGGTAGTGACCCCCCCGGATTTCCGCCAGCAGCGGTAGAACACGTTCTTTCAAAGGTGAAGAATTTAAGCAGTCGTTCTCACCCTCCGGCCCCTTTGTCACTGGTTGAGGAGTCATGCCTGCAAATTCTCGTGGGTTTTCCATTGCGCGCATGACATCGGGGGAGCTCGACATCGGCGGCGCCGACGAGCATCCACCTTTGTCTGGGCTTCCTTCTTCTTCGAAAGCATCATCCGGATCCAATATTGGCATCTGAATTGCCTTGCCCGTTACGTGGTCAGCTGCGTCGCTCACTGACGGAGCTGCGCACGAGGCGAGCTCGACGCATCTATCGGGGAGACGGTCGAGATGATGCGACGGGCCAGGTGAGGCGAGGAATCGAGCATATTCTTCGTTCTTCTCAATCGAATGAGAACTGCCCCCTTCCGATAGCAAGTCGTTCGCATCCTCGCTCTGTCCATGCAGCGCGAACGGCGCCGCATGTTCTGCGCCGGAGTTCTCGGCGCCCGACATTCCCATGGGGGCGTGGTCCAACAACTTCTCCATCTCAAGATCTAGGTCGATCGACGGCTGAAAGCCCGGATGTGCCGACGCCAACTCAAATGGTCCCATCGGCGGGAGATTTGGCTGCGCCATGCCTTCCGCCCGAGGTTTGTGCTCGGGGCCTTGTCGCCGAGTCAACCGGGGGGGCCCCTTCTGTCAAGTCAAGCATATTACGTGATGCTTGCTGCTCTCTGGGAGAGTTGGGAGAATTTGGTCGCCTCATGGAGGCACCTGCACTTCCGTTGCGCTCGAAGGGGTAATGATCTTCTGTTCGTCCGAGCGTCCCTTCTTGTGATCCCATGCTCTGCGAACCTAACGGCTGTGCCGTCGTTTCGGCTGATAACCAATATTTTGCCTGGATGTTCACCATCCCTGCTATATGTTCCGATACTATATCATGGTCAGTGGGTTCCGCCGATGACATGGGGAAGAAGGGATAATGCCGCCAATCGAACACAAAGGTAAGACTGAAGGGAGGAGGCCAGCCCGCCGGCCAACGCACGCGCGCGCGCCGCAGGCTCGCCCCTTCTCCGTTTCCTATAACCAAACTGGTATAGCTGCGGACGCAGAAGCAGTCAGTTCATCGGGCAGCGCGCGCAAGGCAGAGGAGCAGAAAAGGGCTAAAGGATGGTCATGCGGAAGGGATGCATTGACTGCAAGCTCGAGGTCCAGGACCACATCAACCTCAACCAGCTGGTCACCGAGCTCAAGCAGAATCCGACGCTTGGAGTTTGGCTCGTCAGGGGCCGAGTCCGCATCCCGACGACGCAGCTGGTGTTCTACGGTGGCTCCGCCTTCGCCAACGCCGAGGGCGAGCGGTCGCAGTGCGGTCTCGTCGGGGGCTTGACTCACAAGCCTGAGGAGGTTGCCCAACGGAAATTTAGCGAGCTGATTCCGCTTACATGGTGCTCACGTGTCGGGAGGGAGGCGCGAAGCATCCTCAGTGAAGAGGCCTACGCTATCAGTGAGGCATCCGAGTACGCCGAGTGGTATCGCCAGGTGCTGACGGAGCTGGAGGTGGCGGCGAAGCTTGGAGAACCACCGAAGCTGAAGGACGTGGAGCGGCACGCCGACGACATCAAGATGACGACCTTCACGGAAAGCAAGAATCTCGAAGAGACGGCGGAGAAGGAAACCGGAGTCGTGCAGAACAAACGGTTGAGGATCGTGGTCAGCATGCTGATGGAGACTTTCGCACCTACGGTTTCGATCTTGCGATGGATCCCGACCCACACGATGGTCGCGGACGCCCTCACCAAGGTGATGCACGCGGGCACGCTGATGGCTTTTATGTCCGGCCGCGACGTCAAGTTCTCGGCCCCAGCTCCCAAGTCGAAGAAGCTCGTCCAGCTGCTGACGTTGGCCACCAGAGCCATTCCAGGAGCCAGTTTCGACTTCTGGCCGATGGAGCGGACGAGCAACGATCGACACGGACAGGACCTTACCATCATGCAGTCGTGCAGCCGGGATAGACATGCAGTAAGTTAATTATACTACTTGCAGGGTGTGGCTTTGGGAATCAGGTATACCCTTCTCTGTATGCTGGTATATATTGTTGTACGGAAGATTTTGTCTTTGCAGCCTGGGACGCCTGATGCAAATCGGCAAATGGAGACGATGATGATCAGACCGGCCATGCAGCTCAAGACACAGCAGGTCGACTACCCCATGCAGCTCAAGACGCAGCAGGTCGACTACCCCATGGAGAAGGACATGGGTCACAGGATCCGGGTCAGGGTGACTGTGCGGTGCTCCAACGACGGCAGGGGCTGTGTGAGCACTCGGTGTGCGGTGCTACGTTCAGGTATCAGCGGCTGCGTGTGAGCACTCGGTGCGTGTGCTCCACCGACTACGGGCACCCCAGAGAGCTAAAATTGTGTCTTTCGAGCCCGGGGTGCACTCCGATTTCCAAAAATTGTTTGGTTTCTCAGCCGCGAGCCCCGCTGGGCTGATACATGTTGGCTGCCGTTGGGCTGCGTGCAAAACAATTCCCACTCTACCTCGTCCTACCTCCCTGAATGCACGTGCGAATTTTACGCTAGCGAGTTTCTTTGACTGCCTTGACCTGTGAGCCAACTTAGCAAGCCAGCCAAACCTTTAGGAGCCCTGGGCCCGAGCGTTTAGCAGATGAGAGGTCAGCGACCGGCCGATCCTCCGTTTGATTAAAGCAGCGTTTTGATTATAGAATTGTGAAGCGTACATTTCGGAGGAGTGTGAGTGATCAATTGTGTATGCAGCATGCTGTAGTATAGCACATATCTGCTATCGTTGGGCTCAGGCGCTTTGAACAGTTTCTAGCTACGCATCAGCAGCACAAGCATTTCTACCATGTCCCAGATATCAGCGATATCCGAACGACACTTCGAAGGGGCTTGTTCTACAAGGCGCGGGCCTTACATCTACAGACGAGGCCAGCGGCTTCTGAAAAGCGGGGTGCTTCTAAGAAGACTTCCCCCCTCCCCATACAGTAGGAGCTCGACCACAAGAAACCTTCCACAAGAAACTCAACCCTTGGGACCACAGGACATCAAATGATTTTTGGTGTGGGAACGTCGCGCTTGCCATCGCAAAGCCATCGAGACCCACGAAACCCAGGGCACCCTGGAGGCGAGCAGGGTGCGTCTTGGTATGGGCTTCCACTGCATCAAGGAACGCGACTGGGCGACGAGACCAGTTGCGTGCAGTAAACTCCCGTACCTCCCCCCACCTCTCCCAAGTGCCGCCGCCTGCGACCTGAAAAGACGACGTGGCGGTCCCCCACAGGAAGCCGTGTGTCGTTGCATGGGCGTCCACTGTGCCCCCCCCCCGCGCGTGGCCGACAGACGGGGCCTGGTCGCTCCAGTAGCTGCACGGCGCGGGCGCGGCCTCCACGGCAGCGGCATAGGCCGTCGAGTAGTGGTTGAGGCCGCAGAAGTCGGAGCTGCCCCTGACCATGGCCTTTCCAGGGGCCCAGGGACACTCGAATATATAGACACAAGCCCAGAATCCCCCATAGTTTTCCATATGTTCTGAGCTTTCGTCTCCCCTCCCCACACACACACACACACTTCCCACATGTCCCATACGTTCCTGGGAGTCGACGATTCGCTGTGTCTGTGTGATTCTCTCCCTCCTGAGCCTTCTCCTCCTCCGAGAAGGCAGGCAACCTTCTGCCACACTGGCGCTTCATGGACTCGGGGTAGTCGCCTTTCCAGATAGGGTCGGCGAACCAAGCCAGCTGCCAGTCCATGGCGCGCCGCGCCGCCGCCCTGTCCCCTGGCTCATCGGAGATAGGCTCGCGCCAGTCCACTGTCAGAGCGATGCCGATGACGCCCCGCTGGGAGGGTTGGAACTCCTCCCGGTAGCGCCTTACGGCCTTGGCGTGCGCCAAGATGATGTGATGAGCTGCCAGGTACGGCTCCGTGTCGGGCTTCTCGTTGCGGCCTGGGGCGATGATGCCCTCGCAATAGCCCAGCGAAGCGTAGCCGCAAGGATCGTTGAACGTTGTCCAATGCTTCACGCGGTCTCCGAAAAGATTGAAACAGCACCCGGCGTAGTACTCGAAGTCCTCAATGATCTTCGGATTCAGCCAACCGCCGTCCAGGCACTCGGGCAGGTCCCAGCAGTGGATAGTCACCATTGGTGTGATCTCGTTTGCGATTAGCTCGCTGATCAAGCTGTTGTAGAACTCCAGCCCTTCAACGCTCAACCTGCCGCGGCACTCGGGAAGCAACCTCGACCATGAAATGGAGAAACGGTAGGCCGGCAGGCCGAGTTTCTTCATCAGCGCCACATCATCTCTCCATCGATGGTAGTGGTCGCAGGCCACCGAGCCGTCGGCGCCGCCCTTCACCTTCCCCTCCTGGGCACAGAAGGTGTCCCAGATGCTGGGCGATCGACCGTGCTCGTGGCCGCCCTCGACCTGGGCAGCGACGTGGAAGCCCTGGCACCACCAGTCCCAGTCCCTTAGGGGCAGGGCCTGGGCTCCGCTCGGGGGTGCAGACATTGCCAGCGGGCGCGAGCGAACAGGACCCCCAGGAGTGAGACACCTCCGATTCAGACCGAGTGGCGGCGGGCATGCCAGGGTGGACACAAGGGGGGAATAGCACAAGGGGGGGTAACGAATCAGTGGTATGCGGCTGGTCTTTCTGGAGCCCCCCGCCGCCGTGAGCGACCGCGCACAGTGGGAGCTCGACCACAAGAGAAATTCCACAAGAAGGCCAACCCTGAGACCCCAGGACGACCATTGATTGTTGGTGTGGCAACGTCGCGCTTTCCATGGCAAGCAGGGTGTGTCTTGGTGTGGGCTTCCACTGTATCGAGGAACGCGACTGGGCGACGAGACCAGTTGCGTGCAGCAAACTCCCGTACCTCCCCCCTCTCCCAATTGCCGCTGCCTACGACCTGAAAAGACGACGTGGCGGTCCCCCACAGGAAGCCGTCTGGAAACCTCATGCAGGAGTAAAGATATACCGATGCCGCATCTCCAAGGCCCTCTCCTTGAGGGCTTCGGAACAGGATCTCGGGGCGGCGAGTGATGGGTACGACAATGTCGTGTCGTGCCGACTTCGGCGTTGGGTCCTGACACCGCGGGGATCTTCCAACCTTGAAGGACTGTCCGTTTCCGAAACAACAAATCGTTCAACATTCGGGTCGGGCGAAAGGGGGGGATAGCAAAGGGGGGGGTTGAGAATCAGCTCACGTAGCTGATGTTCCCGGCGCCTCCCGGCGCCGGAGGCGGCCATGTATCGAGGAATGGGCCCCTCGGTGAGGCCGAAACCAGCTGCATGCATGCATTTTCGTACCCCCCCCTTTCCCAATCCCCCCCTTTCGCCCGGCCCGAAACATCAACCTCTCCTGGGTCGCCGGCAGCGTTCAGCGCTGAACGCTGGCAGCGGGGTTGCCGCCAGTCGACACGACGCGAACCCTGCAAGGCGGGAATCTACCCAGATCCACCGCCTAGAAACCGACGTCCTGGTGCCCCAGCGGCCCAACGCCTGTGGAGGTCCGCGGAGATCGATCTCCCAGGCGGTGGTGATGGATGAATCCCCGCTTCGGAAACCTACCGTAGCGGCATCGGTACTTGGCGGCGCGCACAAGGGGGTAGGGGGAGGGGGAAGGCTTCTTCGAAGCGTGCTGCTTCTCACAAGACGCCGACCCCTGCATCTATAGATGGACGGCCCGCGCCTTCTCAGAAGCAGGGGTGCTTCCAAGAAACCCTCCCCCCCCCTCCCCCGACAGTCAACCCGTATAAGCAGGACGCACGACAAGGATGCAAGCGCCTTAGAAGGCCATGCCGACACTTTGCGAGCGGGGCGCGGCCAGCGAAGGCGGCCACGGATGGGCCGAACGGGAAGGATGCAAGGGTAACGTTAGAAAGCGGCTCATCCTTACCCTGCGGGTTGACTGCGCCCGCTCCTGCGCGTGGCCGACCCTCACGAGCAGGCACCGACCGTCCCAGCAGTCCTATAGGCCTACCACGACATGTTCTGAGAACAGCAGAGGGCTGCAAGAAGAAAACGAGATTCTTAGAACGTAAAGCCGATGGCTCCAAACAAGACGGCCCCAGCCAGAAATGCCCTAAGAACGCCTCGTGCAAACCACACAAGGTTCTTTAGAAGCCTCCTAGATGGGGTCGGAGTAGATAAGGTCAGAGGCTCGCGCCGCCTCGCCGATATATCGGCGATGCATCGGCGATGCGCCGGCGACGCATCGTCGACGTCGGCGATGCATCGGCGACGTCGACGTGAAGCAAATCGGGCTGCACATCGAGCCGCATCGGCGATGCATCGGCGATGCGGCGCGATCCTCTGACCCCATCTACTCGGACCCCACACGGGAGCCCTAGATTGTCAGCACATTCTCCGGTGGGCCTGTAGGCAAGCCAGGACGACTCGTCACTGCGTAATCATCCTCTGACCTCAACTCCACGCCGCCCGCTTGCACGACGCGGGCCGCGCCGCCGAGCCCCGCCGCCGGCGCCGCCGGCGCCGCCGCCGCCGCTGGAGCCGCCGCGCCGGCCCGCTCCGGGCTCCGCCGCGGGGGGGCCTCTCGGCGCTCGCCCTCGGCGCCGCACGCGGCGGCCGCGGCCGCGGGCCGCTTCCTTCAGGCGGGGAGGATGCCATGGCAGGATCGGTGCTCGACGACAGGAGGAGCGTGGAGCAGAGCTGTGCAAACGAGGCTGCCGCAAATGCACCACACCACGCGTGGGGGGTGGGCCGTGTGCCGCCCCGCACCGCACGGACGCCCTGCGTGACGCGGCGCACAGCCCGGAACAATCGCGTGGTGCGGTCGGTCACGCTCGTCGCAGCAGTGTTCGAACTGTTCCTTGCCTTCTCCAGGACGCGTTTCAGGATTTCCAGCAGCCCTGCTGCAGCCCGTCTGGAGCAGGAGTGGCAACGACAGGGGGGGACTGGCATAGGGGAGGGGGGAACATCGACCTGGAAACAGCGATAGATCGGCGATAGATCGGCGATAGGCCTCCGATAGCAAATCCCCACGCTCCTGGGCGGGGAGGGACTTTTTTGGGTCGATGCACCCCCTATCGGCGATCAATAGGCGGTTTGGGGTCGATGCATCCCCCCTATGCTCATCCCCCCCCCCATCGTTGACACTGACAATATTCGGAAATCCTGTCCCCCTAATCCTAATGACACGACGAAGACGCAGCCCCGTCTTTGCGTTAGTGATTGTGGATATGGGTGGGTCGGTTCGGTACATCTGATGATCAACACAAACTCTTATCCCTGATGTCGCTGTCCCTCCTAACTCGGGCCCCCTCCCGAAGGGTTCGTTCTTTTATTGCTGATGGCCCTGGCGGCCCTGGAAATCTTGGAAGGCACCCGAATCCCCTGCTTCCTGGACGGCCGCTGGCCCGCAGGCCCCTGGGCGGACGGGCGCTTGGGCGCCATGGCCGCCGCCCGCGGCGGCGGGCCGACCGGCCGAGCGCCCCCGGGCCTCGAGCCAGGGGAGGGGGGGCGGCGGTCGGCGTCGGCAGCGGAGGCTGGCGGTGCGCACGCAAGGGGGGCGGGGGACGGACGGCACAGCAGACTCCCAGGCGGCGCGTGGATGCAAGCGGCAAGACGGACATAGGTGTCTCAGGCGGCCAAACGCCGCGCAATCAGCTCGCATCATCCCCAGAGGGAGGCCAGAAAGGAAGGAGAGGAGGAGGCGGAGGGGGGCGGGGGGGGAGGCACAGGCTTCCGAGGAGGAAGCTGCTTCTCAGAGGGCGCCGGCCCTGCGTCCACAGGCGGGGCCCGCGCTTTCGGAGAAGCGGGGGGTGCTTCCAAGAGGCCTTCCCCCCTTGCACCCCCCTCTGCGCGTGGCCGAGGAGGGCCGCACGCGGGAGGCTGGAGGCTCCGCAGGAAAGGGCGTTTCTGGCCAAGGCGAGCCTCGCCCACGGATAGGTTCCACCAGGTAGATCAAGGGAACGGCCTGAAATTCCGACCAAAGTGGTCCTTCTTTGAACGCCTTGACTGTAGGGGGGAGGAGGAGGAGGAGGAGGAGGAAGAGGAGGAGGAGGAGGAGGAGGAGGAGGAGGAGGAGGACGAGGCAGCGGGCCCTCTTCTGCTACTGCCGGTCTGCGATGCTTCTCCTGCACGGCTTGCTGCGCTGCGCCTTGCGGTGCTTGTCACTGCTCTTGGCACCCAGAGGTTCCGCACGGGCGGAGGCGAAGGCGAGGAGGATCAGGGCGAGGTGCAAGAGCAGCCTTCCCCCCCCGTCCCTCGCCTACCTCCACTTTGAAATATTTTATCTGGTTGTTTCTTCAATGTTGATGTTTTGCAAGTTGTCTGTGTGAGGGTATCGTAATCCTTCTTTTGCTTGGATGCCATGCGTGTTTCCCTTCGTACTGCCTCTGGACTACACAAGACCGCCGTAACGACACAATATGGCGCCACAACGACTCAGGCATCATCCAACAACCACTTGAGTCACTAGAACAATGTCAGACCAAGAGAGAACCAATTGAACAAAGCAGCGAGACATTGCACTGTCGATGTGCAAGCTACGTGGTGCAAGCTATGTGGCGTGAGCGATTAAGGTGATATGGTGACAGCTATACCATACAAGATGCGTGGTGCTAGCTGTGTGGTGTCAGCTGTGCTGTGCAATACACGTGGTGCAAGCTGTGTGGGGTAGGCTGTGCGGTGCAAGCTGTGCGGCGCAAGCTGTGCGGCGCAAGCCACGCAAGTCCCACCCACGCGGCAGCCCAGCGCACGAGGCGTCCACGGGCGGCCACCGGTCGAAGCCTGGCACGCCCACCCAGCGCACCGGGCGCTCACGGGGCGCCCACAGGCAGCCACTGGCGGGCACGAGGCGAAACCTTCGCACACCCACCCAGCGCACGAAACGCCCACGAGGCGCCCACCAACCAGGCGCCGGGCGAAACCCTGGCACACCAATGCAACCCCTTAGAAGACCAGGATCGGAACCCCGAAAGGCAGGCAATGTGAGGGGAAGGAACACCAAAACACGTGGGAGGTGTCAAAACCACTGAACAAGCAACATTGTCGAACCACTAAAAGAACATTCAAAATAACACCATCCACCTGAGATGTGCCACGCATTTCTAATAACAGCGAACATTAAAACATTGCCTGAGGGGTGCTAACAACAACAAACCAACAAAATACATGGTCGCCGCCCGGGTCACCGTGCCAAACAAAAAAAAATCAGAAGACACTCCACCAGGGGAGATGCATCCGAGATTGGCGCCCGCTCAGCACGTACTATGGTATGCGTTGGTGGTGGTGTCTGAGTGTTCTTGTGGGGCCACCTGGCACACAGTGTTGTGAATACCATGTTGCGAATACCATGTTGCGTGTTGTTGATTGTGTATATTATGTTCTTGTTTGTGGGGGTATCGTTTAGGCAACGTGTGAGATTATCTGGTACGTTTCTCGGATACGTTCAGCGCGTTTCGCATGGAGATATGCGATCTCCTCGTCACATCTCAAATCATTCACTTTTGGCTGGTGATTTATAGTATGCATCAACATTGTTTGAATATGTGTTGCTTCTGCTTGCTTTCACCCCCCTTGTGTTCTGTCGCGTGGTTCCTGATTTTGTTGAATCGTTGGCGCCTCTCACGCTTGTTGTTGCTGTGACATGCTTCGGTTTGCTTTGAACGGCGATTTTCCCAATCAACGCCTGCACTTAGGAATTGTTATGTGGCTCTGTTACGTAATCTGTTGAGTATTTTTCGGTTTTTCGCCACGTTGCAGCCCGTAGCGCCTCGAAGGCGCTCCGCGCTTGGGGGGTATGCCAAAGATGCGCCGCGATGCCCCGTGTGCCTCGTGGGCGCCTCGAGGGCGCCTCGTGGGCGCCCCGCGCTTAGGGGTATGTCGAGGATGTGCCACGTTGCCGCCCGTGCCACCTCGTGGTCGCCTCGTGGGCGCCCCCAGCTTGAGTGGTACGTCGAGATAGCGCCACGCTGCCGCCACTGTCGCCTCGTGGGGGCCCTGTGCTCTGAGCTTGCACGGCTTAGTTTTCACCGCACAGCTTACACCACATAGCTGACACCATATGGCTTGCACCGCATAACTTCGACACCATCGCTTACATCATACAGCTCATAAACCACAGCTCTCACATAGAATTCACACCGCATGCCTTGCACGACATAGCTTACGCTACAAAGCTTTCACCGCAGTCTTCATCTCCATCGCTCACACCACCTATCATACACATCATAGCCTTCACTACATCACAGCATAGTTGTCCCCTCCAGAGCTCGCATCATCGGAGGTGAGGAGGTGAGATCGAAGTGGAACGGAGAGCCCCCCTACCAGGAAATCGATTTCGGTTTCGTGTTCGTGCGTGCCGTGCGTGCGGGCGAGGCGAAGCTGCGTGGGCGGGCAAGAGAAAGTCTCCTGTGGCTGAGGCGCGGCCGGACCAAATGATTCTCCACCGGGCGGCCGGTGGCGCGCGGTGTCCCGCCGGTGTCCCGCTGGTGTCCCGTCGGTTCTCCTGTGGCTGAGGCGCGGCCGGACCAAATGTTTCTCCACCGGGCGGCCGGTGGCGCGCGGTGTCCCGCCGGTGTCCCGCTGGTGTCCCGTCGGTGTCCCGTCGGTGTCCCGATGATGATGTGGATGATTATTATGATGATGATGATGATGATGATGATGATGATGATGATGATGATGATGATGATAATGATGATGGTGATGGTGATGGTGATGATGATGATGATGGTGATGGTGATGATGGTGATGGTGATGATGGTGATGATGATGCGCGAGCTCGAAAGAGGAAGGGAAACAATTACGATGTTGCCCATTGCTGGGCCCCTCCCCCCCAACCTAGACCGAATGAGAGTTCGACTGTGAGACCGAATGTGAGATCGATTGCGAGATCGATTGTGATATCGATAGTGAGATCGACTGTGAGATCGATAATGAGATCGATTGTGAGATCGATAGTGAGACCGAATGTGAAACCGAATGTGAGATCGACAGTGAGATCGATTGTGAGATCGATAGTGAGATCGACAGTGAGACCGAATGTGAGACCGAATGTGAGATCGATTGTGAGATCGATTGTGAGATCGATAGTGAGATCGATAGCGAGATCGATAGTGATATCGATAATGAGATCGAATGTGAGATCGATAGCGAGATCGATTGAGTGAGACGTTGGTTCCCCCTCCCTCCTCACCTCCTTATCACCCGCAGGGTGGTCGTATAGGTATAACTTACATGACATAGCTACCACCACCAGTTCACACCGCATGACCTGCACTACATCACTTACACTGCAATGCGTACACCGCACAAGTCTCACCTCCACCGGTCACACTACATAGCTAACACGCCATAGAGCTTACTACATCACCACGTAGGTTTCAATCCCACAGCTCCAACAGCGTAGCGTTGAATCTGTATATATATATATATATATAACTATGTATATCTATATATTCCACTACAGAGCTGCAACCTCCACAATGCAAAACGGCGCTGTTTGGGCTCCACGCTG